TCCAGATCTCAACCCCATAGAAAACCTTTGGAGGGAGTTGAAAGTCCGTGTTGCCCAGCGACAGCCCCAAAACATCACTGCTCTAGAGGAGATCTGCATGGAGGAATGGGCCAACATACCAGCAACAGTTTGTGCCAACCTTGTGAAGATATACAGGACACGTTTGACCTCTGTCATTGCCAACAAAGGATATATAACAAAGTATTGAGATGACCTTTTGATATTGACCAAATATTTATTTTTCACCATAATTTGCAAATAAATCCGTTCCAAATCAGCCAATGTGATTTGTCTGGATTTGTTTTCTCATTTTGTCTCTCATAGTTGAGGTCTACCTATGATGCCAATTACAGGCCTCTCTCATCTTTTTAAGAGTGGGAGAACTTGCACAATTGGTGGCTGACTAAATACTTTTTTGCCCCACTGTACAGCTAAAGTGACTGCCCACAATGCAGCCCAGTGTGTTTTAAAACACATTTGCAAACAGTACAACTGATGAAACAAATGAAGACACTGGCCATATGCAGACACCTACATTATTTTTTGCATCTCTTATCCTGATGGACAGACTGACATCTGCCACAACCACTCCCATGTCTTCCTCGAGGCTATTGGGATCTTCGAGCCGGAACACTTTTTCAGCAGTTCTACAAGAAATAAATTAAAAAACACCCAATCAGTAAATATATGTATTTCACTTGGAATGTGGCAGATCATCTGAACAGCAAGTGGTTTCTGCCTCGGTTACACTGGCATATCAGAATATTTAATGCTCCATTGCTCAAAAAACAACTTTCACATTATTCTGACATACCGCAGCTCGGTAAACTTTATTGACAAACATAATGAAATCCCAATAGCGTATCATTATTCAAGTCCAAGACACCACGCAAGCTATCTGCCGAACGGGAGCCAAAAAGGTATTTTCAACACTGTCAGTACGTCAATGGAAGCTCAAAATACATTAGTTAAAATGCATCTTAACAGATCCATCAAACTATTTCTCTTCCAAGGATATAAATAAAAGTTAGTGCTGACAAAGTGTGTGTGTAGCAATGTAGAATCCTGCCAGTCAAGGATACCACTGCACTTAAAATAGAGCCCTTTCCAGTTAAACCCCTGGCATGTAAGAAGCTTTAAAATGATGATGTTACACTTTCATTGCTAGACTCTTAACATATTGTGTAGGAGTGTAGAGCAATATATCTTTAACCCGTTTAGAACCAGGGATATTTTGAAATTTCATGGCCAGAGTGATTCCTGTAGAAGGAAACTTTGGACAGAAATAAAACAAAAAATCGGAATTGCCATTAGTGACTTTCTTCAGAAAATGATAGTTACATGGCCACCACTGTTTTAAATACTTTGAGTTCTTGACCAAGAACAATCATGTAGCATAAAAAGCCAGGGGGAATGGAGAACTCCTGGTGTAAAAGCTTGTTCCAAGTCAGGGGCTTAAACTACCGAGGTTACTGGATGTGCATGACAGCCAGGTAATTAGCATTTTGGAGGAGAGGTCAGCAATGGCAGCCTACAGATTTCTTCAGTACCGGTCTTCTTTGAGGTATTTGAGGGCGAGGCAACCACCATATTACTGGAGGTACAACCTATTACTTCTTTTTGTTCCTAGACCCCACTGGTAATAATAGATTGACAATGTAATCCAGGCACCAGAAGCAGGTAGGATATTCCACTGATGATGTCAAAGTCCTGACAGGCACCTGTCCCCTAGAACATAGGGTACCTAGGTACAGTCACATGTGCTGAAGAGATCTGTTGCTTCTAAATCAGAAATTATATGCTAAAGGCAGAGCTAGAGCAATTCCCAGGAGCCAGATAGTTAAAATCATGGAGCGGTTTTAATACATATATATATTTTTTTTTTTTTTTTATTTTGTCTGCAATGTTATAATATAGAGGGACACCTGAGTGTAAAATTAAAGTTTCTACTGCAGTCCCAATGTGATGATTGAGTTTAATGAAGTACCTCAAGCAATCTTCTTCCCTCACTGCATAGGCATTTCCTGCCCATTCATCTACAGACAGGAGCAGCAGAGGGGGGAAGTATCAAAGGAACTTCACAGTGTTCTATGCAGTGGCGGAACTGCTGCCGGTGCAGCCGGTGCTTAGGCAACGGGGGGCCCAGCACAGTCCCTGTGCATAGATGGTGGGACTTGCCGGCGGAGCAGAGGGCATGAGAGAGATGGGGGAGAAACCAGGCATATCTCCTAAACCTACAGGGGTCATTTATAGGTTTAAGAGATATGTGTCTTCAATCTATAGAAAATAAAAAGTAACCTGTCCCCATTTATTTAAGTGTAATAATTATCTAAAATGCTTTGACATACATCCTAATATTTAAGAAAATCTATTTTTAAGATCTCCAGAGTTGTTCTGACTTCTTAAACCTGTACTATAAATAATGGGGTATATAAGTGTGCATGCATGAGTAAATGACTTAGCATTTTTGTATGTATGTATGTGTGTACATATGAGTGTATGCATGTATGTATACGTGCATATGTAAGATGGGGCCTCATGTTTAAGTTTCGCCTTAGGCCTCACAAAGTCTAGAGCTGCCTCTGGGAGTGAGGACCCAGCAAACAGAACACACACAGGAAACCGCTGAAGACAGAAGAGGTAATGGTAAATAATTAAAATAATAATTTGTAGCCTAATGTTGTATAAAGTATTGGTAAAACAATGCAGAATGGCACTCTATAGAGGACTACAAATCTCAGCAGTACTTTATACAGAAATACCATTGTTATATAAAGTATTGCTGGGATGTGTAGTTCTCTATAGCCTGTGCCATTCTGCATTGCTGTATATATATTAGGGATGCACTGATATATCGGCCTCCAAAACATATCGTCCGAAAATGGCACTTTTGGCTAAATGCCGAAAGTGCCATTTGTCTGCCGATACAGCGGCGCATCCATGCTTTCTTTCCTCCCCGCTTGGCGCTGCTCTGTGTCCCAGCGGGGTGGAGATAAAGTGTGACAGCCGGCCGAGCGCTGCAGGAGGAGAGCGCTGTGTTTGTGCACCAGGGCCCTTTGTTCCTTAGGTCCGCCACTGGTTCTATGTGCATATTACACCTGCATAGAGATTACATATAGTTTGCTGGTTTACTCAAGTCCCAGAACAGAAAATGTCCGGATAAATAGATACAAAAAAGGCAAACATAGCAGATGGACATTACATTGGAATCTCAGACATACCCATGAGCTGCTAAAGTTGATTTAGGAACTTACTTGTTTAGTTCAAGCTCTTGGAGATCTAGGAAAGCAGATCCCATAAAGTCATCAGTTGTGAAATCTCGATCATAAACCTTGAAGGGAATACCAAAACTATTATATTTTGTGTAAATGTGAAAAACTATTTTACTGAAGTGGATCCACACTTAAAATAAATTAGCAGGGCATGTCAGCATTATCGAAACATCTTTTCAAGTAAAACAATACCTTCACTCCATCTCTCTTTTTAAACTCTCTTTCTACTAAAAACAGGAATAAATAAATAGCAGAAAACTAACTAAAGGAAGGCAGGAGTTATTTAAGGCTGATTAGGATTACCTAAGGTTAATAAGGAGGTTAAATGTAAACAAATTTAATTAAACATTTTACTGAAAATACCATGTAAAAGTGAAATGTTATATGGTATTGGTCAAAGAAGCTGCTGAACAACATTCCAAACACTGTCCAGAATCTCCATTTTACACAGCAGCAGCTGCTGCGGTGATATAAAACAATTTGAGGTATTTTAACTATAAAGATCAACAGAACTAAATAGCCAACATGTTTCAGGAATCCAGAATATTCCCCTTCATCAGGGCATGTGGAATACTTTGCAACTTAGTTCCTTTTAGTGTTTAGACTCAGAGGGAATGATAAATGACAATTGTTTGCAGTTAGAGTGAATTGTTAGCGTTTCTGCAGGAGGAACAATGATCAGTCCTTCTGCAGAAACCCTAACAATTTACTCTAACTGCCAACAATTGTAATTTATCATTCCCTCTAATTATAAAATTAGTCTAAACACTGAAAGAAACTACGTTGCAAAGTAACTTTGCCCTGATTGAAGTGGATATTTTGGACACCTCAAATACATTGGCTGTTTGTTCCGTTGATCTTTAGAAATAAAATACCACATCGGAATCTACTAGGAGCAGTGGCACCCACATATGTTCTCAAATTGGGTTTAACCGAGACTCCCTCTCCTATCTGAGAATGCCTCGTGTGTGGGAGCAGCCCTACCAAGAACGTTTACTGTCGACAGGCCCGGATTTCCCACAAGGCCATCTAGGCCCGGCCTCGGGGCGGCAGCGGTGACCTTGTGGGGAAGTTGCGGGCGAGCATACAGCCCAATAGGAAAAAGTCGCTCAATGTCGCTCGTCGCGCAATATCGCTCGAAGTCGCGCGATTTTCATGTCGCTCAGTGTGAATGGGGCCTAACAGGACGCCGGAGGAAGTATCTGACACCTGGGGGGAGGAGTTGCGGCCCGCCGCGCCATGATTGGCCATCTACTTGCTATCACACAGGAGCTTGTTATCTTCTGTGTGATAGCAATAAACGATGTACCTTTACATTAACTTACTACACAAACCAAGAGTGGACAAATCAATATGGAATTCAGAAGCCAGTCTTTCCAAGAGCTAGCAAGATACAGGTGAAACTCAAATAATTAGAATATCGTGCAAAGTTCATTTATTTCACTAATGCAGCTTAAAAGGTGAAACTAATATATGAGATAGACTCATTACATGCAAAGCAAGATAATTCAAGCCGTGATTTGTCATAATTCTGATGATTATGGCTTACAGCTCATGAAAACCCCAAGAACCCCAAATCCACAACCTCAAAAAAGTAGATTATTACATGCAAATCAATAAAACAAGGATTGTACATAGAACAATATCGGACCTCTGAAAAGTACAAGCATGCATATGTTCTCAGTACTTGGTTTGGGCCCCTTTTGCAGCACTTACTGCAATTACTTTTGCATGATATTCTAATTATTCGAGTTTCACCTGTATTTTTTAGGAAACAGCTCCATTAACAACAACTAGAGAAAACCTCAAAAGTTAGGCACCAACTGTAATTTTTAGACAGCATTGGCAACCTGGCTTATAGGAGTTGACTAGCCCTAAAACAGGGTTTGTAAAACATTAACACATAACAATAAGTTTACTTACATTAAAAAACAATGTCAGATTCAGCCAAAAATAAAAAATAAAAATTTGTGTGTCTCTTGCAAACAAACTGCAAGAAAGAAAAAATCTGTACCTCAATAAGTCTGTAGTAATTAAATGCATTTCCCTGGCAAACCTGATAACTACTATGTACCATCTAAGTTCTGGTTTCTCTCAGGGCAGATGAAGGAAGGTAGGCATGTATGTTTCAGCAGTCCCTAGCTTGTGGTATTTTCTTTTTGCCACTACAGATCACAAGCTTGCTATAAGCAAAGTACCATCAGGGGTCTTGAGGGCAGATTTAAATCTGTAAGGAATTGAGATGCAGGGCATGATCGATATTTGTAAGGCTCAGACCTGCATGCACTGACATGCAGACAAAGAGGTGGAAACTACATAGCAGTGCTAAACGTGACAGCAGTTGTTTTCAGAGGTAATGCAGATTTTGTTAAGGGAACAGATTAGGTATTACTAATCCTTCCTGGAGTTCTCTTTCAAGGGGATCACATTAATATGTATAAACATAAAAAAAACATTTATTTAAATCACCTTAATCTGCAGCTTTTGATCAAGATTCTGGATAGGCAATACGAAAACTTCATCCCACACAGGATTCAGGTTCTTATAGACAACTTTGCTTTTATACAAGGTCTTCTTGTTTAGCTTGAACTTCACATAAGGATCACTGGTACCTGTGGGGAGGACAGAACATGCTAAATACCACAAAAAAAATGTAATTATTGGACTTATTTAGGTAGCCTAGGAAAAGTGAAATTATTGTATGGCTTATGCAGACATCAACCGGAACTCATTTTCTAAACTACCCTGACATTAGTAGATTGCCATTTAAGTGGTTGCTATGGGTTGTAATAGCCTTCATACAAAGGCTTGTTTAATGACGCAGTTCATAGCACAAATTACTACCTTGTGCAAACATAATGTAAATACATGATAAAAATGTTAATTGGGAAAATTAAAACTCTCTGAAAATAATAACTGGAGCTACAGTTGCTGTATTTTTTTTTATATTCAGATACAAAATCTAAGGATCTTGCCTTTGTCATCCTTCCTAGGGTCTCTATTAGCATTAGTGAACCTTTCTGCAACATTACATGTATACCTGTCACAATATACAGCAACAGTATCATTTGTTACTTAATATGGAAAAATACTGTATAATCCTCAGTCAACGTAAAGGCTTCCAAACTTCTTGAGATCAATAGATCTCAGAAATGGCAAAGAGTCATCACCACTTGTAATTTCCTCTCAATGAGCCCTGATGCACAGGCACTCATTTAGGGTCTCACAGCCAAGGAGACGAAGACCTTTACAATTAAGACTTTTCCTATTTAGATTTGTAAATCACTTGGAAGGTGATTTACACTTTGACGAAATGGACGGTTTTATACAGGTTCAGTTACATAAACTCCTAAATTCAATCCATTTGTATTCAAGAGTGTAACCGTACAAAAATTGTAGAAGAGCAGGGTGGTGAATACTGCCTAACTGGAATATTACACAGTTACTATCCTTAGGAAGGGGCTCAGATAGCATATTGCACATGTTAATCCAGTATGGCAATGCGAAAAGAGAAAGAGGAAGAATTCACAGCTTGACTTTCGCACAATGCTGTCTCATTTGTATTAGCTGTACATCCCCTTCCTAAAAAGAGCATAAGTCTGATGCTTTTGAAATATTTTATCAACTGCCTGGCCTGTGTTCCGAGTTTGTGCTGTGCAAGGCAAACATTGATGAGACCTTTTTCTGCAAGCATTCTCTTGTCTCACCAACTATATTATATGCATGCAATTGTGTAAATAAATGCAAAATGTTGTAGTTGAGGTACAACACTTGATCTCAAAGCTTACCATTAAACAGTCCTCAAAAGCAAATTGAGACTGCATGCTGTTTATCTATACGTCTTTCCACTCTGGTAAGAAGTTCCTTCACCCCCTTCATGCTCAACAATAATGTTGTATTTAATCACAATTGTAAGACAAAAGCTGAATTTTTTTTTTTGTATTGCTCACACAAAATAACAGAACCACGTATACATTCATCAACATATCCAAAGTTGTCAATAGTAGAATCCCAGACATGACTGTAAAATAGAAGAAAAGGCTACAGCCCTCACAGACATAAGTTTTTTCTAGCCCCATGCATAACAGTATGGAGCAATACCGTTTATCCCAAGTTCCATACAGCACGTTTGCTAGAGGAGCAGACAAACAATCTTTAGGATATATTTATTAAAAAGAAAGAAAGGAAACAGTGGGAAAATCTCTAATAAAAAGAGAGCTTTAATTAAATGAGATTGCTACTCAGGGATCAGGGCTTCATGCCTGTCAGCTTACTTTCAAAATAAACATCTCAAAAGTAGGCCTCTATGGTGTCACTTTCTCATAGGCAGTGCATGCTGGGTAATCCCTAGGCATCTTGACAGCTACATAATGTTCACACTGCTTGACGGGTGAATGGCTGCACTTGTGTGAAAGAAAATATTAATGCCTAGAATTAATAGAAGGGGCAGTGATTTACAAAGCCGGGACGAGGAAATGTGTCAGGTTAGCGCAGTGTTAATTGTTGAAGAGAATAATTGAGGAGGAACACACAGAGTTGCTGCATCTCACCATATTGTCTTACTGTCAAGCCACAGTAACATCTCAACTAGCTGCTTATGTAAGGCCGATCTACAGCGAAGGGACACACAGCCTGCTCACAGATGAGACTGGTGACAGCGTGTCACCTGGATGCCAACACAGAGACAACATGATAAAGGCACCAGGCTAACCCACATGCTCAAATATCATCAATGTCATTAAAAATATTTAGGAGACAAATGAACACAGGAGAGGAAGAACACACATGAGAAAATGAACAGAGAATTAGGACACATCACCACAATATATGCCTCTATGCAGTCTTCCAAAAGGACACTAAAAATCAGTCACCAGTCACTTCTAAAAATGAGCATTCACAAAATAAAATATATATTTTTTTTAAATAGTTGTGCAATGCAGCTTTATTCAAAATGTTTTCTTTTAGGAACATGGAGATAAGTCTAGGACAGCATGACAACTCAGCTGACAAATGCCAGCTTGTAATTGCTCTAAAAGGTCATTTACACTGCTTGGCCAAAAAAAAAGTCACACACTAATATTTCATTGGACCATCTTTAGCATTGATTACGGCACATATTCGTCATGGCATCATTTCGATAAGCTTTTGCAACGTAACAACAGTTATTTTCGTACAAAGTTGCATTCATTTTTCACCAAGATCTTGTAGGGATGATTTTAGAGTCGGACCACTGTGTAAAATCTTCTCCAGCACATCCCAAAGATTCTCAAAAGGGGTTAAGGTCTGGTGGACAATCCATGTGTGAAAATTATGTCTCATGCTCCCTGAATCAGTGGCGGATCCCAGATTGAGAGCCGCTCCCTGCCTCTCCCAACCGCAGTAGTAATGACACCAGCATCCCAGCGCAGCGGCCGGGACATACAGCTGTCACAGAGTTTACGGTATTTCAGTGTAAAAAATCGGCACACTCCAAGTACTATGCCGTTTTTTTTACACTGAACACAGTAAACTGTGTGACAGCTTTACAGCTGTATGCCCCGGCCGCTGTGCGGGGATCCTAGGCTGCAAACACCCCCCGCCCCCTCCCCCATTACTATGAAAAGCAGATTACTCTGAGGAGGAAATCTCCTTTGACAGCTCTGCTCTGCCTCCGCGCTCCTTTGCTTGCTATTGGCTGGGAGGGAGAGAGCAGCACCATCATTGGCTGCCTGGCTTGTTTCAGCAGAGAATGGGAAGGCACCTGCAGGGGAGGCACAAGAAGGCTGCTGGGGGCTTCACATGGAGCAGACATGGATGCTCCCCCCTGTTGCCCCCCCCCCCTCCCGGATCCACCACCTGGAGAGGAAGAAGGGGGCATGAGGACAGAGCACATCACAAGTGTAAGTCCCTTACACAACTGATCTCCCCACTGCGTCACCTTACGGACCTCCCAACTGCGTCACCTTACGGACCTCCCCACTGCGTCACCTTACGGACCTCCCCACTGCGTCACCTTACGGACCTCCCCACTGCGTCACCTTACGGACCTCCCCACTGCGTCACCTTACGGACCTCCCCACTGCGTCACCTTACGGACTTCCCCACTGCGTCACCTTACGGACCTCCCCACTGCGTCACCTTACGGACCTCCCCACTGCGTCACCTTACGGACCTCCCCACTGCGTCACCTTACGGACCTCCCCACTGCGTCACCTTACTGACTTCCCCACTGCGTTACCTCCGCACCTTGCGTCACCTTACTCACCTCCACACTGCATCACGTTACTGACCTCTGCACTGCATCACATTACTCACCTCCACACTCTGCGTTTATTATTATCGCTCCCACCCTCTGCCACTCTGCTGGACCCGGCCAGCCGCACCGAACAATCAGGACCCAAAGCAGAGGCTGCACTGTAGTCAGGCAAATTAGGCGGCCGTCTCAGCCCACGCTGGGGCTTTGCAGCTCCCTAATTTATGTGAGTACAGACCGCCCAAGGCTGACAGCGGCGGCAAGATCCTAGAAGGAGAAGCCAGGGTAGTGCGTTGTACACTGGGGGGAGAGGGGGAGAGCTGGGGGGGGCAGTGGACACATAGGTAGTGAGAGAGGAAAGGTGTGGCACAGTAGCAGTGGAAGAGCCAGATGGGGGGGGCTTATTTTTTGGCAGTGCCCCTCCCAAGACTAGACTCTGGATCCGCCCCTGCCCTGAATCACAATTTCACAATTTGAACCCGATGAATCCTGGCATTATCATCTTGGAATATGACCATACCATCAGGGAAAAAAAAAATGATGGTTATTCAGTATATTCAGGTAGGTAGCCGACATCCTTTGTTGCCAGATGAAACATTTGAATCACTGTAGTAATTATCCAATGGAAAGTTCTTACCTATTTGCTTAGCTAAATCCAGAAAGTGACTTTTTGTTTGGCCAGACAGTTCACACAGCTGTTCACACAGATGCATTTAAAAGAATTCAGTGACAGAAATATTTCTAATGGAGATACACTTGATAACAGGCTCCATTTTGTTTCACTGATTGTACCTCAAGAAGTACTTTCCTACCTCGCCTAGAGTGGTGTTTTTTTCTTGTAAAAGGGAGTCCTTATACTGTTTTCTATAGGTTGGTCTTGGGACCATTTCTACATAAATTTCCAACTACAGCTACACCCAATCCAGTCCCCCATTTATCTTCTAAAAGCACCACTTTTGTGAAAAATGTTGTATTCTGCGTGTGTAGCTGGTAGTAGTTAGTCACATTCAACTGCACTGGTTCTATAATGTTGAAGATGTTTCACTGCTTATCCAAGCTTGATATATGGGTATATGCAGTGCACTACAGTGAGAAATGCAAATACCTATATAATGAAGAGAAAAAAATAACCTCAACAAATGGATCGCCCCACACGTAATACCATTTTAACATAAGCAGCAAAAGGTCCAGTGACTAACCACTACTAGATATACCATTAGCTGGATAAGCGAGAACCTTCATTAACATTTCATAAAAGGGTTAATACATGTAATCATAGTACTTAATGAGTTATATATTCCTTTTTACTTAATATGCCCTTGTTAATAGTTGTCACAGCTAAAACAGTGTCTTACAGCAATCTTCCAGTTGCGGGAACAG